TTGAGGAACTTGCCCGAAGTTACGGCGAAGGCGCACTTCTCGGGGTTTAGCTTCATACTGTATTGCCTTAGTATACCGAAGGCTTCCTTCAGGTGGTTGATGTGGTCTTCCTTCCTTTTTTGATTTGACCAACATGTCATCTATGTACACTTCCATTGTCTTGCCGAGTTGGTCCTTGAATATCTTGGTGACCAGCCTTTGGTAAGTCGCCCCTGCGTTCTTCAACCCGAATGGCATGACTCTGTAACAATACGTTCCCTGATGGATGATGAAAGTAGTCTTTTCCTGGTCCTCTTCCTCCATGAGGATTTGGTTGTAACTTTAGTAGGCGTCCAAAAAGCTGCACAACTCGTGACCTGCCGTTGCGTCGATGAGTTGGTCGATGTGAGTCAATGGAAAGGAGTCTTTCGGGCAGGCCTTGTTAGGTCCGTGAAATCCATGCACATCTACCACTTTTCGTTTTTCTTTTTCACTATGACTACGTTGGCGACCCACTGGGGTATTTCGATTCTCGGATGGAGTCGTTAGCTAGTAGTTTATCCACCTCATCGCTGACGGCTTCATTGATTGCGGCGTTGAATTTTCTTCTTACTTGTCGTACTGGAGGTAGAGCAGGTCGACGTTCAACTTGTGTGTGGCAATGTTTTTCGAGATACCTGGCATATCTGCGTGGGAAAAAGCAAACAGATCGGTGTTGTTAATTAAAAACTTATGAAATTTACCTGGCTCTAAGAGTTTATGGCCTATGTAAGTCCTTTTGCTGTTGTCGCTGTTGTCTAGTTGGACGGGGTCGCGGTCTTCTACCATTGACCCTGCGGCTTCCACGACGTCAGGATCCTTGATCACGTCCTTTTGTTCGTTGAGTTCAGACCCTAACTTTGGTAATTGCTATGCTTCTGAATCTGTTCCCTTCAGCTCTTGAGTGTATGTACAATCCTGGGCGATGCGATAGCATTCTTGGGTGGTGCGTTGTTCGCCTCGTATGTTGAATACCCCCCACGGAGTAGGGAACTTGATTACTTGATACAGACTGGACGGGATGGCTCTCATAGTGTGTATCCATGGTCATCCTATGATGGCGTTGCAAGCTATATCCTGGTTCATGACATGGAACGTTGTTTCTAGGGTGACGCCCCCGGCCAAAGCGGGCAGCGTTATTTCTCCTGAGGTTCGCTCGACTGCATTGTTAAAACCTGTTAGTGTTATGCAGCGTGGTACTATCTTGTCCTCAAGTCGCATTTGTGCGAGGACTCGAGGGTGAATAATACATGCGCCGCTTCCGTCGTCGACATTATTCTTTTTACATCAGTATCTGAAATACGTAAAGTAATGACAAGAGCATCGAGATGAGGAAAGCTCAAACCATGGGTATCTGACTTATCAAAGATGATACTGTCTTCGAGGTCATCATACCGCTCGTGGATGATCGACCACTTCAGTTTATGTGTAGTGGTAAATTTCACGTGGTTGATTCCTGGTTCATCGCCCGATGATCATTTGGATGGTGCGAGTGGGGGAGGGTGGCTTTGGAGGGCCTTGGTGTTGTTCTCGTCCGCGGCCGAATTTGGCTCTTCCTCGGTCGCTCATTAGCTTCCTTAGGTGCCCTTGGTGGAGCATGTTCACTACTTCTTGCCGTAGGGCAATGCAACCCCGTTCCTGATGGAATTCACAGAGAACGTTCGACTTTCGGGTATTTGGGTCAGATTTCATCTTTTGTGGCCACTTCACCTTCGAGCCAAGCTTCTCTAGTGCGTACACTATTTCTGAAGGGGAAACACAAAAATTATGAGCAGATAAAAGTGGAGGCATACCTCTTTCACCTGGACGGTCCTTTCGCATGGAGAGGAGATGGTGGGATGGCTGTTCTGACATAGGGTTGATGCCTGTCTCGGTTGAGGCGTGGACCTGACTGATCTCTTCAACCGCCATTACGAGGTCTTTCCTCAGCTCCGTTTGGACCGACGTTAGCCGCTGGGTCGGACCGTTAAGGTCATCCTCGTCTGCTCTCACCTCGGCATAGTATGCATTGTGAATTTCATCCGAAGTGGTGGAGGGTATTTCATGAGCCTGCTTAATAACTTTCTGGTCGCTCTCGACCCACTTCTGTTCAACCCATTTTGGAAAGCTGCCACCGACATCCCTTCCGATACATTTGGTAAGCTCATTCTTACTCTGTTGAACCGAGCAAGGAAGTCCCTGAGTCCCTCACCGGGCGATTGCCTAACGGCAAATATATCATTCACCCTAGCTTCCGCCTTCTTAGCCCCGGCCTAGGAGGTGACGAACTTATCGGCCATTTCTTCGAACGTTGTTATAGAGCGTGCTGGTAATTGTGAGTACCAGGTTAGGGATCCTCCCGTTAGGGTCTCACCGAACTTCTTTAGCAACACTGATGGTACTTGCTCTTTTAAGAGGTCGTTGCCCTTTACTGCTATGACATAATGAATGATATGATCTTCGGGATCTGTCATGCCGTCATATATCTTCAGATATGGCGACATTTTGAAGGTTTTGGGTATGGCATGTGGGGCCGCCTCCTCGCTATATGGTTGTTCGACGAACCGGCCGACGTCCCGTTTTGGTAGCAATCTCGGGGCGCCCGGTATCTTATCAACCCTTTCTTGATGCTCCCTCATTTGGTCGCGGAGCGCTTTATTCTCGTTCTCCATTTGTTCCATTTTCTTTAGGATGGCGGCAAGTGCGGCGTTACCTGCATCAACAGCGGTGTGGGTGTTACCTGTTGGGGGTGGGGGTGGGTGGGTTGCTCGTCGGCGGTTGCTGTGACATCCGCTTGTGTGACGTTTCTATTCGCCCGTTGAACGGGTTTGTCGAGTATGTCATTTAGAGTACTTGTCAACCATTCCTCCAGTAATTTTTTCACTGCGGGTGGTGCTTCCTCAACTGTGGACGTGATAGCTCCCCTTTCGCGTAAAGCGGTCATACTTCCTTGTGGGGGGGGGGGAGGGGGTGGGGGGGTGAGTCACTTCGCCTGGGCATAACACTGGGCGTCACATTCTCCTTGTTTTCCTCGTTGATGGTGTTCATGAGTTTAGCGGTGACGCCCACCACTTTTTTTTGTCTTTCATCTCCTTTTCCTGCCATTGTTAGTTTGCGCAAACGGAAAAAAGATGATTGTTGTCGTTTTTTTTTAATCTAGAAGAAACTAAAATTCTAACTAGAATCTGCCCGCAGACGGCGCTAAATTATCTGACCAAAAAGTGTTAATTTTTTTGCTAAACTAATTAATAATGAAATAGAGAGTGAATCCTAGTTAAACATAATAAATTCTAGATCTAATACTGGAGGACACCAGCGGTATGGACGGTGTTTGAGAATAATGAATATCGGATATGAGCTCAATGAATGTTATAATAAGAACATGCAATAAATGTAGACAATGGCAATAAATATAATAAGAGGGAATTTATCACCCAAAGATTATATGTCTTGGATGATTCTTCCACCTGACAACAACGTGAAAGGATGGGAAGTGAGGATGGATAAGGAATCTTTGGATCTTATAAACGTAGATTGTATAACATATATTGAGCAATGTCGTCAGTGAACAAGACAACTTTTGTATATTCTTTATAGTCAACCTTTTACAATGTGCTCTTATCAAAAAGTGAAGATCCCCCCTTTGTTCTTTATCTCTTCCTATTTATAAGGGATATCCTTAAGAAACCCTAAAAAGTACAACATAAGGAATATCCAAAGGAATATTCCTTATGTCTATCGCTGAGTTATCCTACCGTTACTTCCTTGCTACATTCACTTGATCTCAGCAATAATCCTCCTTGAGACGACTCCTCGTCGTTGTGCAATGGTCGACTCTTCCCTCAACCCTGTTTATTTGCAGTTATCAAGCCGTCCAAATTTAGATCCAAAAACACGCCATGGCGGAAGAAAATGAAGTGTCAATATGTCAAAAGAAACCCAATTAACGACATAAAAAAAAGAGTAGTACGTATTACTTTTAACATTACTTTACAACCACTTTTCCACGTTTCTGAAAAAGTTGGCATGTCCCCAACGGCAAAAATTTATGATATCGTCATGTGCTTACTTTGAGCATGTTTCATACTCCCTCCGGTCCAAAATAAGTGATTTTTTTGGATGTTTTCACACAGATTAAGAAATATACCTTTTAGCATTAATTAGCAATAGAATTAATCATATTAACCTTTACTACCTCATATAAACACTCCTAACACATATTCCAACACTATTTACTCCAAGGACAATGTAGGAAAAAAATAATTAATTCATTCTTGAAATCTAAAAAAATCACTTATTTTGGACCACAAGAAAAAGGCCAAAAAAATCACTTATTTTGGACCGGAGGGAGTAATACATTTTCAATTTCAACGTAATTTGTCATTGGGAATTGAGACAGCACGTTGGTACTTCTTGGTACTTCATCTTTTCGTCCATTGTGCTTGTCAATTCAATAGAAGATTGAATCCAAAAAATACAATCAGCGTCAACTCCATCTTCCAAAAGTTCCCAAGAGGGAGCATACTGTGGAACTTGGCCAAACTTAGCAATTTAACTTATATACACTGACATTAAATTAACTTTTTTAGTGAAAATGGCCCGTAACATGTAACTCTCTAGAATAAACCTCATTTGGTAATATAGAATTAAAGTGAATAGTTACGATGCACTAATCAATTGTAAACATATATAGATCTTTTTAGTGAAACATATTAGAGCTACAAAGAGATTCTCTAGTGCGGACTTAAAAAATCTTATCATAAGAGGTTAGCATAGAATTTCCACTCCAGAATCTGATACATGCTTCATAAAAGATGTTGCTTTGTCTCGCGTAGCATCTCCAAGCAAATAAAGAAATCACTACTTGACCGAGATTTGGTCAACAACAACAACAAATCTAGTAAAATCTCACAAGTGAGGTCCGGGAACGGTAATGTATACACATACCTTACCCCCACTTTAGGAAGGTAGAGAGGCTGTTTCCTTATTTGGTCATGGATATATAATGCTTCAAACAGAACTTAGAAAAGGTAAGGCAAACACTACATATTAGTAGTTTGTTTACATACTGTTTGTGGACATAGGTAATCAATTACACCAGAACTAGGAGAACTATGGGGTCCTTTCAGACCCTTGACATACAAGTTTAGTACATTAGTCGATTAAATAATGCACTGAAACAAGTAGAAACACTGAAATGCCCACGACTATGCCACGTCGCTTATTACATAGAAACGCTAAAAATGACATGAATAGTACATGAATGTTTCAAACATACCTCAGACATACGAAAGCAGAATCTTGAAGTAGATAATAATGTATATAGAAAGAGAGAAGAGAGCAAACACATGTTGCCAGAAGAGCATTGCTGAAGCTTCTCTGACTGCATAACCTCTCAAGCTAGCAACTGCTCCCAACAAGATGGCACTTGGTGTGGTGTACTGCAACAAAAGCACGAACCGGTACATCTGATCGTTAGGGATTAAAAAGTTCATTTGATCAGCAAAATAGACCACTCCTGTTCCGACTAAAGGAAGGACCAAAAGTCTAGCAATGGTGATGCCAACAGTGGTTCGAACCCCGAGTCTAGATTCATTCGGACCCTCAGCAAGCATTCCTCCTAGAATCAGCATAACTGAAGGCACCATAGCTTGAGCAAGTATTTCTAAACTGTCCGTGAGGAACGAAAGAGGAGCCTCGTTACCATAAACAACAGATTTAATGGGCGGAACCATTCCAACAATAAAAGCCAACAATGTAGCAAACGTTGGAGGCTGGAGAACATGGCGAACTGGAGTTTGTTCAGCGACAATTCTTATTCTTCTAACCATCCGGGGCTCCGCTAAACATCTAATAGATTTTGGACTCCTCGGTGCTGGCGCATCCTCCAAACTATCAGGGTCCGGAATAGAACTATATGAAAGGCTTGAGACACTGTTAAAAACCCGTGCAATAAAGGGTGTCTTGCAATGCTCGGTTTCTCTATCCTCCATACCAGGCCACTCAGCTTCCACAAGAAGTGGCCTACTTAGATCATTACTAGGTAATGGCTCCTGAATCTCGCCACCCTCATCAACAACATCAAAGTACTCCAATGGGGGCTCCATCATATGGTAAACAAGAGTGTAAACGAGCAGCACCGCCACCCATTGGGCAAACGACACATAGGACACACCAGTGGTGTAGCAATCTGGACCAAAGGGATTGTCACCACTATGACACACTGATCCAACAATGGCAAGAGGCAAATTGCCAGTGTTCCCAAAAGCAGTCGCGATGATAGTGAATCTAAAGTACTCTGGAGGTGGCCTGCAAATTTTCGCCACCAAGTACCCCAATAGACAACCGATCGCAGTACTTAAAAGTACATTAACTGGTATAAACCACCAGCGCGCAAAATTCTGGACAGTAATAGTCTCACCAAGGTGAATAAATATGGTACAAGGCAAGAAGAGAGCAAAGACAAGCTTGCTAAGGAGCTTAAAAGTAGCTTTAGGAACTAATTGGGATCTTGGATGTGCAAGAATTAGGCCAATAACAGTTAGACATAAGAGTTTCAACAACGGCAGAACAGCATATACTAGGTAATTGCTACTGTAATACATATTGGCCTCTTTTTCAGAATTTGGGAGTTCCATTTTAAGTTGAAACCACAAAGGAAAGTTCCCACAACCTTCCTCAAACCCCAAAATACTAGCCAAGATTGAAACTTTACAAGATGGGTCTCAAGGATTTCTACTATTCAGAGCAACAGAAAGACCTTCAGATCTAACAAATCCAGAAAACCCCACCTCAAAAGATTACAGGTTCGCTTTTTTTTAGGTAACAACTTAAAGTTTACTTAATTAAAATGATTGTAGTACCTAAAGTACAGCTTAGCTCCAAGAATCTTGAGATAGGATTCTTTGGAAAAAAGTCAAACTGCTAAAAAATGATGGAGCAAGAAATTGAGGTACCCCAAATCAAAAAGAAAGTTAAATATATGGAAGACGGCAAATACTAGTCTTACGCAATATCAAGAAGCAGCTCCTCAGTTGCAGATGGAACCTCTTCACTGGAGGAGAAAGCCTTGTCCTAACAGTAAATGAAGAGTAATGAAAGCAAATATCAAACCACCTGAGTGTATGATTGAACCAATTGGGATCACGTGGACACGTTTATTTATTTATCTACTATATACTCTTTTTGTTTTTTTCTCAAGAACATAGACATATTTTTAAGCAGAATTCACTAGAAGTAGGTGTTTAATAATGGAAGGTAAGCCGAGTAAAAATTAACCAAGTTGTACTAGACCTTAGGGTGTGCATTCAGTTTATCGATAAATCGAATCGATTATCTGTTATCGGTTTATCGATTTATCGATTTCGATTTCGAAATTTTCCTTATCGAGTTATCGATTTTGATTTCGATTTTGTCCTCTTCGTTTATCGGTTTATCGATAAACCGATAAGATATACTAAAAAAACAAATATACCCTTGTTCTATAATACCCTTTCCTTTACACTAAGTCCCTAACCCTATTATTTCCTCTACCCATTCTTCTGCTTCAGCGCCGCTTTTACCTTTCTCCCTCTCTCCCGCGAACTGCAAACCCAGCAGAGAAAGTGAACTCCGGCGAACTCCGGCGTACTCCGACGACTTCAATAGTACGTTTCTCCCCCCCTCTCTCTCCGTGCCTTTGTTAATGGAAAACAGAATTAGTCGTGATGATGTATTTTTTTTTATACCGTTGGAGTGTTGGTGGCATATATTTGATCCCTTACTTTAGTTTCGTTGCATGTGCTTGTTGACACCATTTTTATGTTATAAACGGTGTTCGTCTTATTTTTGCTTCTTTTTGTCCATATTAGTTAGGCGTGTTTATAGCGATATACTTTCCGTGGAATCCCGCAAATTTTCTTATTGGTGTAATCGATAAGCCCCAAAAATCGATATATCGAAATCGAAAAAATCGAAACCTTATTGAAACGATAACGATAAGCATATGTACAAATCGATAATCAATAAGTAATTATCGATAAGGGTCAAAATCAAATCGATAAATCGAATGCACACCCCTACTAGACCTCCAGCACCCCAAGTTAAATTTGGAAATTTGTGGAGGTAATTAAGTGGGAACTAACTGTTTAGTATAGTTTGAAGAAGATTGTTAAGCCAATCCTACCTAACTAAAAGTAAAATGCAGGGGTTATTTTCTTTCTTGATTTCTTTCCTCTTTTTTTGGTTTTGTTTGAGGGGCTAGAGAAGGAAAAGTAAAACCAATTTCAATTAAATTATTTAACAGTGTTCATTAATTTAATCAGTACTAACAATCACGATCGAATGATTTATGTTTTCTGAATGAATAATATCGTATCTTTCACATGTAAATACAAGGTAATAGTGGCATCTAATCCATGTGAAAGTTTGACAAATCACATCAATTATGGTCAATATAATCACTCAAAAGCATTTTGAATCCACTAATGCAACTAAACTAATTAAGTTGAATATACCCCACCACGGCCACATGACCCCATGAAAAAACAAATTTAAGGAAATTTCACATGCATTTCCTCACCGTTTGTCTCGCTATATGAATTTGGTGAGATGTCCAAATTTGTTTAGTTGTCCTAATTTAGCATTAATGAAGGTATTCTTTACCACTTGAAAGGCACACCATCTACCCTTTTTTTTTGTTTTTTTACCGGATGTCCAATACGCTCATTAAAACCCAATTAATTCATGAAAGGACACCATCTACTCTTTTTTTGGTTTGTTTTCTACCCGATGTTCAATATGAGCATTAAGGCTCAATTAATTCGGATTTGCACCGAAAAGTTTTATATTAAGAGGTAAAGCGCTTCTTAATAATTGTGACTACATACTCTAGGTTCGAACCCAAAACTTTTAGTTAAGATGAAAGAATATTGGTAATCCAATAAGTATTCCTGGAAAAATTAAATCTAAGGGTGACATGCAACTGAAACAATACCAAAAGAAATCCTCGCAAGTATTTATAGTCCATAAGATATTGCATTGGCCCACTTTTTATAGCGTGTTTTTTTAGCCTCTTTAGTCAAAATTTTAACTAGGGTGGGATTGTACATATCTATACACTATTGGAAACTTTATTATCCTCCCTACTCAAGTTTCAATTAAATTACCTAATATATACAAATTTACCAATTATACACACTTTAGGAATTAAATGAGTATCCCATTATATTAGGAATCAATTATTTCTCATCCTTATTCTCTTTCCCTCGTGCGCGCGCTCTCTCTCTCTCCTGCTCTCTCTCTCTCAATCCCTAATTCCAGTAATGCAGAGCAAAGGAAAACATAGCAGCAATTCCACCATTGACAGCCATTAAAAAGCTTTGAAGCTTTGAATTCGAATTTGGGTTTTCAAAAAATATTATTTGTTTGAATTGGGTGTTGTTGCAAACAATTGGGAATTCTCTCTATGTCTCTCTCTATCTCTCAATCCCTAATTCCATTAATGTAAAGCAAAGGAAAAGAGAGCAGCAATTCTACCATTGCCAGTCATAAAGCTTTGAAGCTTTGAATTCGAATTTGGATTTTCAAAAACCATTATTTGTTTGGATTGAGTGTTGTTGCAAACAATTGGGAATATTGTTTGGAGTTTATATCTCAATTTTGAGGGTGTTTTAGTGAAGATTAGATTTGATTTTGGTTGAATTTCATATTGAAACTCGAAGAAGAAGAAGACATGACATACATTATACTGCGGAACTTGTAGTAAAGTTGACAATTGAGTCTATTTGGAAAATCAGAACTAGCTATTTTAAACACTCAAGGTTTTAAAAACGGTAAAGGGCCAGATATATCCCTCTACTATCAAAAAATGTTTAAATTTATCCTCCGTTTCACTATCAGTATATTTGTGCCCCTACCGTTATACTTTCGTTCAAAAACACCCTTAATTTGGACGGAATGCCACGTGGCAGGTCAGGAACAAATATCCACCCCATTTTAAATACCCGATTCACTTAAGATCTGCCCCTAATTAGACCCATTACCTGACCCAACCCGTCATAATCTCTTTCGTGTTCTCTTTTTTAATTGGAAAAAAAACACTGAAGCACATAAAGAGTTACTTCAGCAAATGGTTCAACGAATTACCACCATACCTATTTCATTCTTCTCATTGCCATTAACTTCAACAGTGTTGTCAATGACCAATTTGAGCAAAAAATCAAGAAATCAGAGGAACCCATTTCGTCTTCTTCAAATTTTCGTAGAACCATAACAATGGCGTTTATAAGTTTCTTCAACAACTTCGTGGTATGATTACTTTATAAATTCAAATCAGCAACAACAAATAATTTTTACCCATAATTTCAATTTTGCTTTCAGATATGGGTTGCGAAAATTCAAGCTCCAAAGCTTCTTCAATGGTGGTTTAGTTCATGTGTACAAATCTCACCTCCCAATTCACTGATAAAAGTTATAGCTTCTAAAGTGATGCGTTGAGCTCTTTAACTATTTCTCACATTGAAGTTAAGAAAAATCAAGATTTACAGCTAATGTATAACGAATTTAATTCTAACACTATGTTTCTTCCTCCTCATTCCGCCAGGCAGTCGCCAGTCGGAGTTGCTTAGGAACCGAAGATTCGGAAATGCTTTTCGGAGCCCCGAGAAACAGGATGGTGTTGTAGTGATAGTGAAGTGGTGGTGATAGCAGCGTAATAGACGAACTCCAGTGGAAAAAGCCATGGGATTAGATCGTAAAAATTAGTTTTGAGGGTTATGTGTGTGTAATTTTATGCCATAGAAGCTGAAGAAGCTCAGCTATGATGGGGAGAAGCGGAGCTAGGGGGAGAGATGAAATAAGTGTTAAATTCGTTTAGGATTTTCTAAGTGGGGCAATTTGGGTCGGGTAATTGGTAACTTTTAAGTGAATCGGGTATTTAAAATTTGGGGGGTGGGTCTTTTTGTTCCTAACCTGCCACGTGGCATTCCATCCAAATTAAGGGCATTTTTGAATCAAAGTATAACGGTAGGGGCACAAGTATACTGATAGTGAAATGAAGTATAAATTCAAATAATTTTTGATAGTAGAGGGATATATCTGACCCTATACCGTTTTAAAGATTATCTTCTTTTTGAAATAGAAAGAATTAATATTGAAATAAAACAAGAAAAAAATTACCTCAGAACAACTAGAAATAAGATAAATATATCCCACTAGGATAGAATATATTTATGCTAGGACAACACCCTTTAACTAAATAGATAACTCTTAATTATTGGATTTTAAGTAGAGAAATACAAAGAAAAGGAGAATTAAAGAAAATTTTACAGAAAGTCAGAAATTTCTTAATAACAACTTTAGAATTGGCTAAACAAATAGAAGAATCAGATCTAAAAATTAATAGAGAACTAGGTTATAGAGTAAAGCTTATGTAACGACCTGGTCAGTCGTTTTGAGAGTTATAGCCCCGTTTTCCCCATTTCTGTTTTTTTATGTGCTGTTCAGATGTGTTGAGTTGTATCAAGTTGGTAGGTTTGAGTTCGAAGTAGTTTTTGAGTCAAATGATCACTTAGTCTCTTAGTTAGAAAGCTAAGTTAGAAAAGTCAATCGGAAGTTGACTTATGAGTAAACAAATTCGGATTTGGCTTTTTATAATTCGATTAGCTTCGTTGGATGATTTTAGACTTAGAAGTGCGTCCGGAATGTAATTTAAAGGTCCGTGGTAGAATTAGGCTTGAATTTGCAAAAGTTGGAAGTTTAGAAGTTCTTAGGCTTGAATTCGAGGTTGATTTGGTATTTTGGTGTTGTTTTGGGTGTTCCGGAGGTTCGACTAAGTTCGGGTAGTGATATATGACTTGTTGGAATTATTGGTAGAGGTCCCGATGGACTCGGGTGAGTTTCGGATAGGTTTGGGTTGTGTTGCGCTCGTTTTTCTTATGTTTCGACGCCGTTTCTTCAAGCACAAATGATATCATATTGAACAAATGAGCTCCGATTTCTTTTTTGATTGAAGCATTAGATCCGTATCGTAATTACGGACCCGTAGCAAAAAAATTCGTTGAATTTGGACATCTTATGAGGATTTTATGGTCATTTTACGAAGAATTAGGTTGCCAGATTTTTCAGATTAATTACGAAATTGCCACTGACGGCGTATTTAAAAGTCTGCACTATTTGCAAATATTAAAACCT